CCCCGTGTGGAGCTGTTGAATAATACGGTAGTAAGGTGCCTCAGGTGATGCGGACCCCCCCCCCCCCGGTTATCAACCTGCAGTTTGATCAAATAGGCTCCCAGATTTGCCATTAGGAAATTGATCGAAGCCCTTATAACAATGGTTGATCGAATTCTTGCGCAAACCCCTCATGTGGCTTTGTGTCAAACCTAAAATGAACAACTGCCAATTCTCAGGGGGCGATACCGTCCCCACCAGGACTCAAGTCATGGGGTGTTGTGACCGTGGCAAAATAATGGGAATTAATTATCGTGGATTGGACCCTTCGGTCGACATTTACATGGCAGCGGCTGAATTGCTGCATCGATTTGGTGAGTGTACCCAATCTCATCTCCTTCATTTCTTGAAGATGCCACTGCAAATTGCCTCGTTGGGCGGGTAAAAGGCCTTGAATCAACGCATCGACACCCCAATTCATAGCCTTGCAGGCAGCCGGCAGCAAATAAAATGGTCGTTTTCACTGGGAAGTCCGTGTACGGCAAGAAACGGCCACTGCTGTGACAAAGAGACGATCAAGATTGCAGGAACCAAATGCCCTGGAACAAAGTGGACAAATAGAAGCAATGCTATCCAACAAAGCCTTGAATAACACACTTTACCATAAAGCTGTAAAAGACACACGCACACATCCCCGCAGCCAGCCAGCCACCCTTCGCGCGTACGCACGTTACTTAATCGCGTGGAAAACGTCATAGTATAAAGCAACCCGGAAGTCCTTCTCGAAGCACAACAGTATGAATGCATGCTCTGGGAGTAGACCAAAAGCTGGAATGACAGACCATTCGGGGCAAATGACTCGGATTCATAAACCGGAAAGAAGGAAGAACCCGAAGGGACCCTCATCAGGAACCCTAAGCTCATGTCAAGGGAAGCTCGCCATTTGCCCATTGCGCTCGCTCGTTCCACTTGTGTGTGTGTGTGTGTGTGTGACAACCCAAACCAGTCGAGGGATAGCTATGCTAAACATATCCTGAAAGCAGGGGGCCGCCGGGGGAATGCGCAGTCGGCGGCCAACGAAGACGCTGCGCATTCCCTGTGGAAACGTACCTGCGAACCGCACCTGGGCCCCTGACGGCAGCTGGTGGGTTCCCTCTCAAACAGATTCCAACTTAAGGCCTGGGACATCCACAACCTCTTTTCGCTTTTCAAACTCCATCTTCAGTGTGTGGGGTTCGCCCCCTCGGTTCAGCCCATGTGGGTGCTGTGCCGACGTCCGCCGGCCCCAATGGTGCGCGGGGGTTGGTGAAGAGAGTTGGGCACGGCCCTGGAACCGTAGAACAGCCTTCGGGTAAAGAAACGCTGCCAGGGCTCTGCCCAAAGTTCAATCCAGGAAGGAGCGAGGTGGCTCCAGAAGTATTGTGAGAGAGAACTCGGGCAACTGCCCACGAGTGGCGGGGTATACCGCAGATGAAGCGGGGTATACCGCAGATGAAGCGGTTCCACCGCAGAGTCAATTATGGAGTATTATCTGTTCTCCTACGGCGGCCCCACCCTTAGAACATACCACAGGTGTTTGACTGGTTCCCCTTTTCAAGTGGCCCCCTTTTCAAGTGACCCTGTTTAAACGGTTCCGCCTTCCGAGTCACTGAGTTTGTCGGAGCTTTTAGCGCTTCATCGCTCGTTTTCGCGAGAGCTTTTTGATCAAACTCACGAGTTGTTTCACCTCTTTTCTGGCTTCCCTGTTTCTGCTATGGCCTTTGATATGATACAGGCTGCGCGCAGTAAATCAAGCGCCCCACCTCCACCCGACTTTCCGGGGGTCTGGATGGCTGATGGGTCTGTGCTCCGACCTAACCAGCCCGTGCCGAGCCCTAGCGCTGTGAGCTCAGCCACTCTGCAACTTGGGCCAATGCAGTGTGAACTGCGGTCTGATAACCCGCAGACGTTCCGGACGATGTTGCAGGATGCAGTGTTCGCAGCGGCCTATGGTGCTAGTTTGGGGCACGCGACTGCTGCTCTCATGAGCACTACGGCCTTTGGCGGGTGTTTTGCTCACTCTGAGCCACCTCATGCACTTCCCCCTCACCAGGTCCCCCCTTTTTCACTTGAACAACGCCCCGATTATGTACCGGCTGATGCAGTTCCTTTAAATCCAAAAGATGGCAACACAATCTGGATGTGGTTTCGACCAACAGACCGGTCTCGCACAGTCATTTCGCATTTGGGGACGGCTGAAGCAGAGTCGCATCAGCAGCCGGAACATTTTCTGCCATTTCAGTTTGCTGGATTGTACCTCACTATTTGGGAGGATTTGAGGAAGACTCCATGGTGGCAGGTTTATGATGTGTTCCTGGCATTCCGCAAGTTCATGGTTGAGGACCCGCGGCGTATCAAATCCGCTGTGGAAATGGGATCAGCTTGCTTCACTGATGACGGCAAGGTGCAACCGTGTTTGGAGTATTTGACACCTGCTCGCGGATTCACTCACCCCAGCCTTCAAGCCGCCTGCCTACCCTTTTCAACAAATTGGCTCTTTTCTGCCTTTCAAGAACAACACCCTGATTTAGATGCTAATTCTGCAGAGATTCAGGCGGTAGTCATTCAGCTGGCCAAGGTATTGGTGTGGTCTGAGGACATCATCTCCCGTTTTCAGGGAGTTGAGGTGATAGCAGTCAATTCTCAACCCAAGGCACTTTTGGTTTACCTGCATCCTGTGCACCCAGATATCAACTTGCCCCCTCCGCGGAGTGTTGTGGCTTGGACCCACAACACTGGAGTAGCGGCAGCTGCAATGATTCTGAAAGAAGGGATTGTGCGACCCTCATGCTGGGACCCCTCTGATGACAGCTGGTTGCCGACGTGTGGGTTCTATTCAAGGGCGCATGTGGCAGAAAATTTCTCAGACTCTGCATTCAGGGCTGCTCTTATATGCAGTACGCGCAAAGCTTGGTGCTACGGGGATATATGCCAGCCTCGATCAGTAGCAGTTTTCGGGAAGGCGCATTTGCGTCAGCCCCATTACACAGTCAAGCAAGGAGGTGTGCTCGCGGAGCACGCTGCAAACCTCATGTTTGATTGTGTCCACGGAACAGGAGACAAGAGATGGCTAATTAAGTCACATCTTGCTCAATGCTTAGGGCTGGCGGCGTTTGTTCCCAGGCGGTGAACCTTTATCAATGTTGCTTTCTTGACATGTGTCAATGTTGCTTTCTTGACATGTGTTAAATGTAACACCTACTTTGGCTACACGTGGCCTGGAGCAGCGCAAACCATGACCGACTTGGAACGTAAAGAAAAGAAAAGTAATTTGGCTCTCGTGTCGTTTGCGGTCAGACTGTCACTTCACATGTCCATGCGTTTGGCTGGCTGGTTTTGAAGACCAGTCTTGCTGAGGTTATGTCGGGTCGTTTACGCTTGACATGCGTTGCTGCGAAATCTGCCAGAGGGCGTTTGAATTGAGATGTCATAAAGACCCATTATTTTGGAATAGCGGCTCTATTTTCGATGCTAGATTTTGCCTGTTTACTCAAACAAAGACGACTTTTTCGGTTTGAAGCCACTCCGGAAACTAAGGCTGTTTACTAAGGCCACGGGTAGCTCCGCCCTTAACGGGAGCCCAGCGTGGGGGCTGTTTTGTGTACATGTTTGCGCATGTGTGCGCATTCAACGATGCCAAGGTGCATTTCTCGGTTGGTTTTGGTCGTCCATCCCCTGCTCAGCAACTCGTTTCACTGAGGAGGGCCCGGTTTCGCCCCCTCTCAAGCGAGGGCCACGGGGGGGGGCCTGCCATCCTACCGTTTATCCTGGCCGTTTGGCGTGGGTGTGTGCGTGTGTGGGTGTGCGTCCCCTCCCCTCCTCAGCAACTGTTTTGCTGAGGAGGGCCCGCCTTCGCCCCCGCCTCCCCTGTGGTTCTCTCGGGTGAGGGCCATGGGGGCCCGCCATCCCGGCCGTTTTGCGTGTGTGTGGGTGGGTGTGTGTTCAAAAGAAACAACAAATGCGCCCTTTTTCTCCCCTTTTTTCGGCAAGATTGAGACACCAGGGGCCCTTTCTCCTTCAGAACTTCCAGTGACAGTTTACCAGCAGTGCTCCTGCGGGAGCTGTTGTGTGTGTGACAACCCAAACCAGTCGAGGGATAGCTATGCTAAACATATCCTGAAAGCAGGGGGCCGCCGGGGGAATGCGCAGTCGGCGGCCAACGAAGACGCTGCGCATTCCCTGTGGAAACGTACCTGCGAACCGCACCTGGGCCCCTGACGGCAGCTGGTGGGTTCCCTCTCAAACAGATTCCAACTTAAGGCCTGGGACATCCACAACCTCTTTTCGCTTTTCAAACTCCATCTTCAGTGTGTGTGTGTGCGTGTTTTGTGCTTTTTTTTGGGGGGGAGGGGGGGTGGGATACCCCCTCCCACGTTTACTGTAGGTTGGTGCAAAGGGAAACTAAAAGGAAAGACTCCCCGCCCCCATTGTTGGCGTCCCCCTATTTCGACACACAAAAACCAATTTCTCCTGAAGGGAGTCGAAGTTGGCGGACAGGGCTTGCTCCAGCCGTTCGAACCTGACAGCCGGCGAAAGCTTGGGCTGGAACCGCCCCCCCAATTCCGGAAGGAGGCCCATGAGTCCTTGCAAAGTGCCACGAAGGAGTCATCGAAGGATTGAACAACTCCGACCTGCAAATCAGAGGCTGAGGGAGCCGAAGTAGGGCCATGTCAATCATCTTTTAGCTCACCCTGAAACCACCGAGAGGCACCAAATAGGCTTCAAACATCACCGCTCCATGCTTGGGTTCCCAAGTACAAAACATCCGCGGGTGCTTTGAATGCAACAACTGTGGGTGTTTACTTCCTGTGGGAAGCGCATCTTCTTGTTGAGGGTGTCTTTTTTGGAGCTGTATCACAAAGCATCCATTTCCTTACCTTGAGCCAAACTGAAATCTAGTGGGCCCGATCAGGTGACATTCTCCAAGTTGCCCTTTTAGACGCATTTGAGAACATCTTCAAAGCATCCGATTTCGGACTTCCGAGTTTCCGAGTCAAAGGGCGCGCCTTTTCTGTGAAAACGCCCTAAAAACCAAGGTAAGTCTTGCCAACATGCTGGGTGCCAGGGCTCTTCGATGCCAGCGGCCTGATCATTTGTGGGGCTCTGCCTCAGCTCTCCTGGAAATCTATGCTGCAGTCCAAATGACTTGCTTCACATGGCCCGCCCAAGAGAACCCGACACTGTTCAGCCCCAAAAGCGGGATTTCCAAAAGGAGCTTCCGCGAAACAAGACGTTGTGGTTGGGGGTCCATGTCAATCTGAAGAGCAGCACACCTGATTGTCGCCGCGCACAAAAACAAAAAGTTCACTCATGGCGTGAGTTTGATGCATGTCTCGATTCACACGCTTGGGGTCTGACATCTCATCGCCGAAGTTGAAGGATTTGTACTGGAAGCCTGGCAAAATACTGAAGTGGCTGGACGAACATTTCGGGCGCGCGATATGTGCCATGGTCAAAGCTGCTTGTGTGAGCCGCAGCCATGGCAATGGTTCCCGTGCAAATCTTCGTGGTTCTCGGAGGTCCCAGGGTCCATGACCGTACATGCTGATGGACGAGATACTGACCCACTTTGAGACCATGGAAAGCCATCCACACATACCCATGATTTGCAAGGAGACTCTGTCCACCAACAATGCTTGCAAACGTATTGCCACCAGCTGCGCCGCACAAGATCAACTGCTCAAAGTGCTGATGGGCAATCAAGCAAAACGCAACGCGTACTCCAACACTCAAGCAGCTTCACTGAATTGGACTTACACCAACACGCAGAGATGTGTTTGTGTGCATTTTTAGTTGGTTGAAGGGAATCCAAAGGAAAACCAAGCACATGTTCGTTGGGTTCCAAGCTCTACTCAGAACCAACTCAGCATTCATAGCACTGGCAGGAGCGCCAGCTGTGGCGCAAGCAATGCCAGGCATAGCGAGCAGGATATGACATCTTTAGTTTCACGTCCATTTACCTGGAAAAAAAAAACAGTAGTTATATATTCCTTTAAAAACCGTCAAGGGAAAATAACAACATATTCTTAAGCAAATGGAAGCTCAAAGAAACCAGACTTGGACCCAGAAGGTGAGCCCGCTGATCGACATGCACATATAACCCAACATTAGGGTGCTCACCTCGCTTATGTTCAAACACGTTTCCCCCACCTCGCCCAAGACCTCCAGTGCCCATGGGAGAAAAGAGCACTCTGCTCTTTGGCCCCAAAGATGGACATGGGAAGCAACCGTCTGGGTCACTCTAAAAGGAACACGCAGGAAACCAACTGACTTCCAATTTGGCCAGGCAGGCGTTGCTGCAGTCGCTCGGACAGCAGCAAAGCGCCCAAGGTCTCAGCCTCTTCCTCGAGCCCGCTGAGAGGGCCGTGGAAGACGACGTCCCTTTTAAAGCCCCAAAGATCCACTTCCATGGGGACGAAGGTACTCTTTGTGCTGCCTGCAAAGGTAAAGCACTGGGAACTTAAGCCCATGTTCATATCCTGACAAAAATATATTCATGGCTGCTGTAGGTTCATCTGAAGGGTACGTGTCCTTGTCCTGTGGCAAAGTAGATGGATTCCACCGCACATGAAAAGGAACCAAAGCGAAACCAGGGGAATCCATTTGTGCTCAACCAATGACCAAACTGATTGAAATGAATCTGCTCATATGACTGGCCAGAACTAAACGTTCGGATCTTTGCTGGAATTATGAAGACGTCTGATCATCTAAATGTACCCACAACAAGTTTAATGTTAAACTGTTTGACAACTAAACAGGTCAGCAATGCGCACCTCATCCGAGCTCCCGACTCCGCCCTCCTGTCTAAAAAGGCTTTGGCCTGAGCGATCTTGAGAGACCCTGCCAATGATCCTTTTGCAGCCAACCTGAAACCCTAGAAAGCAACTGAGGGTGATCCAGCCTACCTTTTCCGCCTGAAGAAAATATGGGTTCTGGCAACACAAGACCGGGAGACAAACAACATAACTTGGGTTGAGGATCTCCGCAAGCTTTGTGAAGGCGTGCCAGCCCCAAGAGTGCGACCCACCCTCAAACTCTTCGGGCACGAAAGCTGATAACTTTCGTGCGGACAACCTCCCAATCCTCTGATGTCAAACCCTTTTTGAAGAAAGAACTATCACGAGTTATTTTTCTCAGACCACCCCTTAGACGCCCTGACGCCAGCAAGCTCCGAGGCTGCACTGACGTTGCTGCCCAACATTAGCGCTGGGTCCATTAAGTGACATCCTGAAAACTAGCCGCTTAAAGGAAACCACAACCTTAGGGTGAAAGAACCCCTGAAAACCACCAGTGAATACATGACAGCCTCTTTATGCATGCCCCCTATGCGACTGGATGATGGGACACCTCACGTGACCCTGGGTCCCATGCCACCAAAAGCAAACTCCCTTGAAATTGGCCACAGGTGATGTTTAACCTTCCAAGCTGGAGAGCATGCTCCACATGGCTGCCGATGCATCGCGCAAGTGCTGGAAGGGGGGCAGACGCACGCGTGGAACCATGGCACGAAGGGAGCAAAAACAGCAATCTGAAATTTATTGAGATCTCAAACGAAGAGACACTTGATAGGTGTTTTTTGTTGGCAGGAGATTTCTGAAATCCCCCATTGCCAGCATTCAGCCATTGAGGACAATGCTGGGCAAGTCTTCCACACCCGCTGGCTCATGGTTGGAAGGTACTGGGGGCACGAGCAGGGTAAGGGACTTTGCAAGTCGGCGGACTTCTGCACAGAAGTCAGCAGTCCAAGGATCTAGAGCTGTTCCTGGAAAATCGAATCCGGCCATATTGTCTGCAACGGGCCATGAGGCATTGAGCGAAAGAAGCCTGTATGATCTGGCCGTGGCACGGTACGATGCGGGCCTCGGAAAAACAATCCCGGCCCTGTTGTGCGTGGAGCTCCGAAACTGCGTTGGAGGCACTGTGGACCATGGCGCAAGTGATCTGGTCTGCTGCAGACTGCAAGGAGTTGATGAGTTGATTTATGCGCTGTCCTGACCCACCCCAAAGCATAGTTTGCTGATCTGTTTCGCATGTGTGATCGCCAGCTTGGGCCAGATGCCTCCGTGTCAAGCACAACATCTCTGATTGTTCAAAACTGGCCTGCGCAAACCATCTCGGCTGACCCGGATCTATTGAGGCTTTAGCTCTCTCCCAACACGCCAGAACAATCATGAACAATTGAAGGTGGCTCCACAGAAAATCGACACTATGGAGAAGGCTTTCCGCCATGTGGGCCCTGGCCCTATTGTGCCCTTGCGGTCCAACCTGACTGCGCTGCTGACGAATCTCACATACGCTTGTCGCAAATAAGAGGAACCTCCTAACCTAACTGCGGTTCCCGTGCGCGCAGGAAACAAACGTAGGCCCTGCCAAATTGCCAAGCAGGAAAACCAAACGCGATAAAAGGTCAAGCTTTAGGGGTAGCACGAAATTGACCACACCGCTGATATGTGCTACTATGCGCCATCGTCGAAACTCCCGTGCTCTCCGTTTTGCACTAATAATCGTTGGCAGCCTGTTGCCCGTCCGGCTGCGAATAGGCCGCGTTTGGAGTTTGTTGCATGGCCAGCCGATTTTCTGCGATCGTCTGCGTAAGGTTGCCGTGCATTGCTGGCGAGTCCCACATTGCTGAGCGCTCATCCTGCTGCAAGTGCAAGATACCGTTGCGTTGACAAGCTTGGAAGTCAAACACGGTGGCCCAAAAAGCACCAGGCGGAACTCGCGACATGGCACGCAAGCTCGGAGTGGCCTTGGCATGCAGAAAACCGTGCTCATCCCGTGGAAAATGCAAGAGACCATTGCACACAAGGTGGGCCTTGGTACCCCAAGTTTCACATGGTCGATCCTGTGCCAAGTCCAGCCTGCTACGCGTTCCATTGCATACAAACCCTCGAGGGGTCTGAACGGCTTCGCCTACTGGAAGGAACTTGAGCCGAAATTGGTGAAATGTCCCTATGTCAGTCATGGTCTTGGCTCGATTCGCAGGAACCCTTACATGTGTTGTCTAAAACAGCATATGACCACTACCAACCCCAAACAAAGCTGGTCATCCTCAACATTCCCTTTATGGTGGCTTAAATCCCCCACCAGCAATCAAAATGGAGCCACTTGAATGGACCGAGTAACCCGAAGTCAAAGGGGTGCCAAGAACGACTGGTGTCTTTTTCGTTTCCTGTACAGCCAACCCATGGTTGCACTTTCTGTGACACCCCGGTTGTTGATTCCCATGACCAACTTCTCATGTTAAAGGATGGAAAAGGGCATTCGTATCACAGAAAGTGGCCCGAAAACCCATCCGCCACAACCATGAGCCCACCAACGCCGCTTCGACATGCGCAGCAGTCGACTCTATCCATTCCGGGCTCGCGGCAGTTGCTGGCTGCAGCCGCTGCGGCGCCGGCGACATCTCCTAAAGTTGGGGGTAACACTGGTAACCTCCTGGGCTCTAACAAATGGGTGTGGGTCAAAATTAAACCACCAGGGGACCGCAGGTTTTAGTCTATGTTTCCATTTACCAGGGTTCATTTTGGGTGCCTATTTTTGACCCACACCAAAATGGGTTCTGGGACTACATGATCTAGACACATGATTGTCCTTTGGCGCAAAATGGGCATCCGTCTAGGGTGCCCTGATTCTGTTGTGGGTTGGGGGGGTATCAAATGGGGGTTGAGGAGTGGTCGATGCTGTTATTTCTACAGTGGGGGGAACAATATTGCTTGTTTCAGCCCAAAGGCCAATTCTTTCTGGCGATTTGGATCAGAATTGACATCTCGATAAATACCCAAAATGTGCAACTATGAAACCTCGCTATGAGTCCCAATGTCGTGAAAGGTTGCTGATGCGTGAGCTAACACTTCGCTTGCCCATCCCATGTTGTAGCTTGCGCGGAAGTCAGCAAACATTACAAGCTTACCTTTCCCTTACGCGTGGCTGTTTTGAGTGCTTCCCCACAAGAACTTCTTTCCCGAGCTCCGCTTTCCACGCAAATGCCAGACGGCGTGAATGAGGCTATCGAGTCGACAAAGAACCGCCCTCGCGGCATCCATGACATGGGCAAGCGGGGAGCCGGGCAAGGCGAGTATGTGCTGCTTACATTTGCTTACGTGCCTGGACCTCCTGCAAAACGCCTATGGGTTGTCCCCGCTTCTCCTCAAAATAGCAGCGTAGAGGGATGCTCCAATTACTCCATTCGACCCGATGGGCACAGGCAGGGGTTTTGGGCGCTCGCTCATTGTCCACCCTTGTCAGCATTTGGAACCGGAGATGCAACCCTGGTACTTACAAAGTCTGAGTTTTTCCTTCCAATGCATTATGCCTACCTTTTGGTTCTGCCCAGATTCTACAGGCATACATAGGTCCGCATTATTGTCCTTCCGCTTGTCTTCTTCTTTTTGTGATCCTTTGCTTTCCCTTCTTCAAACTGCATACTGTAACCGTTGTCAACCAGGAAGTAGAGCTCCTTGCCACATGCTTATTTGACCCATGTGATGCATCGCGATGCCTTTGAACTTGGAAAGGGTAGCTGAATAGTTGCATGGGCCCAAAGCCGTGAGAGGTGTCATTTTTGTTCAGGATATACCATTTGTTGGCTTCCTTCATCTAGACACACGCCCGAACGCTGGAAGTGCAACACCTGGCCCAAAGGACGCAGGTCTCAAAAACGGAATGTAAGCCTCTGGGCTCTTGCTCTGGCTTTGGCTTACGCCAAGTAATATTGAAGGCCCTCAGCCCTCAGAGCGAGCAAACTTGGATATCTCAAAATCAGGGGAAGCCCCCCACAAAAGGAAACAACGGCGCGATGACGGTTTCCTGTTGGTTGTTTTAAACAAAGAACCAAAATGAGGCTGCCCAAGAAATGCATTGAGCTCATATCAGACAAGGCGCGGTTGTCAGCGGACCACCAGTTCATCATGGCCTTCCAGGGAGGATTTGTCGACTCACCAACCAAACCAGCAATTCCAGGCAAAAAAAGTACCAACTCAGAAACAAACACATCCAGCTGCGCACAGCCTCAGCGTATCAAACGGACACATTGCATGTTGTTAAGCTCTCTGCATCATGTCGTACGCACGAAAGCATGCGGAAATGCTCCAGGGCCTGCCATGACCGGCAAATCCTATGAGTGTTTCTGAAAAGTGGTGGACACCCTTTTGGTCTGTGTGTCAAGGAAACCAATAGAATGTTTTTCTCAAACCTAGGGACTCCAGCTAGTTGGCTTAATTTTAGTTTCAGTCTTCCAAGAGCGGGTCCCTGAGAGAAAAGGCACGGTCGAAATTACTTACTTACGGCTGTTTCGCTGCTTTGTTTAAGAGTCCCCAATCGTTTTTTAGGGGTGTCGACATCCGCCGACATTGCTCGGCGTGTCGGATACTTACTAGAGGATAGAGGATAACCCCCCCCCCTAACCCCCCCCGCCCGACGTCTATTACGTAGGTCCCCCGTACCGCGCAGCAAATGACGTTCCACTAAACGTAGTCTTCGGGGAGCCGCTGTCGCAAGGGGGGGGGGGGGCAGGGGGGGGGGTCCCCCACGTACCGCGCGGCAATTTGATGACGTTCCACTAAACGTAGTCTTCGGGGAGCCGAAAACAGGGGTCCCAGGCTCGATTCCCCCTGCCGGCTTTTTTGCTGGCTTGGGCTTCCTGCATCCTTTTGCCGAAAATCTGGAAAAACTCAATGTTTTTGGACGTCCTCTTTGCGAAAACGCTGGAAAAACCGTGTTTTTTGCGGGAAATACATACATACATACATACATGCATACATGCACCCATACCCCATACATACATACATACATACATACATACATACATACATACATACATACATACATACATACATACATACATACATACATACATACATACATACATACATACATACATACATACATAACATACATACATACATACATACATACATACATACATACATACATACATACATACATACATACATACATACATACATACATACATACATACATACATACATACATACATACATACATACATACATTACATTACATACATACATACATACATACATACATACATACATACATACATTACATTACATTACATTACATTACATTACATTACATTACATTACATTACATTACATTACATTACATTACATTACATTACATTACATTACATTACATTACATTACATTACATTACATACATTACATTACATTACATTACATTACATTACATTACATACATTACATTACATTACATTACATTACATTACATTACATTACATTACATACATTACATACATACATACATACATACATACATACATACATACATACATACATACATACATACATACATACATACATACATACATACATACATACATACATACATACATTACATACATACATACATACATACATACATACACATACATACATACATACATACATACATACATACATACATACATACATACATACATACATACATACATACACATACATACATACATACATACATACATTACATACATACATACATACATACATACATACATACATACATACATACATACATACATACATACATACATACATACATACATACATACATACATACATACATACATACATACATACATACATACATACATACATACATACATACATACATACATACATACATACATACATACGTTACATACATACATACATTACATACATACATTACATACATACATACATACATACATACATACATACATACATACATACATACATACATACATACATACATACATACATACATACATACATACATACATACATACATACATACATACATACATACATACATACATACATACATACATACATACATACATACATACATACATTACATACATACATACATACATACATACATACATACATACATACATACATACATACATACATACATACATACATACATACATACATACATACATTACATACATTACATACATACATACATACATACATACATACATACATACATACATACATACATACATACATACATACATACATACATACATACATTACATACATTACATACATACATACATACATACATACATACATACATACATACATACATACATACATACATACATACATACATACATACATACATACATACATACATACATACATACATACATACATACATACATACATACATACATACATACATACATACATACATACATACATACATACATACATACATACATACATACATTACATACATTACATACATACATACATACATACATACATACATACATACATACATACATACATACATACATACATACATACATACATACATACATACATACATACATACATACATACATACATACATACATACATACATACATACATACATACATACATACATACATACATACATACATACATACATACATACATACATACATACATACATACATTACATACATACATTACATACATACATTACATACATACATGTACATTACATACATACATACATACATACATTACATACATACATACATACATACATACATTACATTACATTACATTACATTACATTACATTACATTACATTACATTACATTACATTACATACATACATACATACATACATACATACATACATACATACATACATTATACATACATACATACATTACATTACATACATACATACATTACATCCATACATACATACATACATACATTACATACATACATACATACATACATACATACATACATACATACATACATACATACATACATTACATACATACATACATACATACATACATACACATACATACATACATACATACATACATACATACATACATACATACATACATACATACATACATACATACATACATACATACATACATACATACATACATACATACTTATGTACATGCATGCATACATACGAGAGAGGGAGATTGGGGAGAGAGAGGCTTGGGGGGATGGGGAGGATGGGAGCAGAGGGAGGGAGAGAGGACGACAGAACAAACAAGGGAGACAAGGAAGAGAGGAAGAAGGAGAAAAGGGAGAGGACAATGTCGGCGGACTGAGCCGGAGGCTCTAAAGTTTGAAAGTCCCCTATCGGTTGCCCATGGTTTTGTGCATTTTGCACACTATCTTTGAAACGCCAAATACTAATCAACAAAAATGACGGTACTTCATATGTGCCGTAGTCAATTCTCCCTAGGCCATGGTCATGGTTGTCTTAGGCGCCTTTGCTGCCCTCTGTCCCATGGAATCTGAACGGAGGTCCTGGAATGAAGACGATGTTCCTCCAAGGGAAACTCCTGAGTGCCTGCTTCAACGTACCCTCGGCTTGAAATCTGTTCTTTGTTCATAGCCTTCGGGTAAAGATGTAAGATGGTCTGGGATCTGCCAAATCCGCAGCTTGCAGCTGAAAAAACCAAACCACCGGGCCTGCAGGGCTTTGGGATCGTCCATGTCCCGCGCCTGTGACTCCGCGCGCGCCCCCCAAAATGTCTCCGGAGTTGGATCCCCCACACTGGCGTTTCTTGGTTGGATGTTCCCCAAACCTAACGGGTACCATAAAGGAAGTACACCAACACAAACACACACACACACACAGATTTCAAATTGGCGTTTAGTACCCGCAACCCCCAAGCGAAAACAGCTTAGCTTGCTTAGACCGCATTTGTCCCTTAGGCCGGGGTAGTGGTTTGGGGGTAGTGGAAAACCCTCTTAGACACATGCCGCCTTGGTCATTCGCTCCACCTCGACGTGCAGCGCACGTTGCACGGCTCTGTCAACCTGCCGTATGCATGCTGCAAACATGTCTTAGCTATTGCCAGCTGCCCACACAGTTTGACTCTTGCTTCCATAGTACTGTCCTAAGGAAACCACACAATTTCCCAAAAGATTCAGAAAGGTTAGAGATTCAACATGATCCAAAACGGCAGCCAAGCTATGGGGAAGGGGGTGCCAACTTTGGCTTCCCTGGACAGCAATCCTCCAAAATGTACATGTTGTGGTTAGGACCTTTGCATCCTTTGGATTTTCCCGCTTGGCCACCATTGTTCGGTCCATTCACGCAGAGTTGTTTTTGGAAAGGTAATGCTGATGACGTATCAGACGCCTACGCCGGCGCCTACACCTTGTGCAAATACCATGCGGGACGGCCTACGCGACGTGTGTGTCAGCCTTAAAACGCCTACGCGAGCCTACGTGGTTGGAGATTTGCTTTCACAGTGCCTCGACTGTCACAATCTGGCTACGCGTTCCTACGCGCGTGCAGTAGCATGCCTACGCGGGGCCTGATACGTCCACTCTCATTTGCCCCTTTACTGTCGTGTCTGTTTTGGGAAGAACCTCCTGTTCATTTGGAGGGATTTCCCAAGAATCTAATCAGAATCTATGTTTGGGGTTCCCAAACTTTAAGAGCAAGTCGTCGGCAGCTTTCAGTCACGAGTCGAAGCTCGCCCGAATGCACCGAAGAACGTGGTTCAATGCTGTGATAAAGCCCCTCGACACGGAAAATACTCAAACAAACACAGCAATTATGCGGTTCAATGCGGTTCAGTTTTCACCGTGGCGCCAATCAACCTGCAACACGGCGGCTGTGGCAAAACTCCCCTGACATCAAACTCACGTGCCACGCTCGTGCCTTGAACCACAGCTGAAGTGCCAGTGAGGCTCGTCCTGGCTTTTTGGACCCCTTGAGTGCCAAAATGGCAGGGGACATCGTAGCGCTTGAGCCACGCCGTCCTTTGTACAAGTTGATACGTTGCCAACCTAATAGCTCTCAAACTTGGTATTTGAGAATACATCATGCCAGGATATGCCAGGCACGCTTTTGTTGGCAGTTCACTTCAAAACCCTCTCCAATGTTGAACAAAGGGACCCCGGAGTCCTGCACAGCAAATAAACAAGCTTCCTCGTTCACGCTCGGAAAGGCAAAACGCGCGTAGCGCAAGGCTCAACTGAGTGCTTGCGTCGCCAGGTGGCGGGCTGCTAAAGCACCGCCAAGACTGGTCTTTGCAAGCAACATGCAAGGGTTCTGCCTCAAATGACACATAGAAAACCCCAAACATATTGGTGCGCTCCAGTTCCCCTGGGCAAAGAACAGCCCACACAAGGGTACCTTAGAAGACAAACATCCACACAGCCAAACAAGCTCCTGCAAGTGGTGCTGAGTCTGACCTGTTGAATGCCTTGTTCTCCGGAGCCTCAGTGTCTCACTCGTCGCCAAGCCTGTTATACAACCAGCTCTGGAATGTGTTGTTGCAGATGACTTTAAAAAGCACGCTTACCAACAATAAAGCCAAACACAAGGAGGAGGAAACCGCAGAACCAGCAACAGCAGCAGAAGCTGCAGCAGCCCCAGTAGCCACAACAGCCACAAAAGCCGCCGCCACCGCCACCACCACCACCGCCATCAACAACATCAATAGCATCAACAACATCATCGACAACACCAACAACAACCACAGCAACCGCAACCACCAACAACCACAACCAGCAACCAGCAACCAACAACCAACAACCAACAACCACAACCCCCACAACAACAACAGTCTGGCAGGCATAGACACGCGCCTTCTCAGCACTGTATCCATGCCTGCGAAATGGTAAGCACACCCCCTCAAGCGCACGTGCAGTCAAAACGGCGCTTCTTTTGAGCTCCAAAATGCGCGAAATGCGGCGCCTGCCAACAAAAATGCACATGCTGTGAACCGGCAAAAACGCGCTTTTACATGGGTCGGAGCCAACAACAGCAGCAGTAGCAGCAGCAGCAGCAGCAAGCAGCAGCAAGCAACCACAACCACAACCACAACCACAACCAGAAGAACAAGAACAAGAGCAAGGGCAAGAGCAAGAGCAAAAGCAAGAGCAAGAACAAGAACCAAAGCCAGAGCCAGAACAAGAACAACCAACAACCAACAACCAACAAGCAACAACCGACAACGACAACGACAACGACAATGACAACGAGAACGAGAACGAGAACGACCACGACCACGACGACGACGACCACGACCACGACCACGACCACGACCACGACCACCACAACAACAACAACAACAACAACAACAACAACAACAACAACAACAACAACAACAACAACAACAACAACAACAACAACAACAACAACAACAACAACAACAACAACAACAACAACAACAACAACAACAACAACAACAACAACAACAACAACAACAACAACAACAACAACAACAACAACAACAACAACAACAACACCAAGAACAAGAACAAGAACAAGAACAAGAACAAGAACAAGAACAAGAACAAGAACAAGAACAAGAACAAGAACAAGAACAAGAACAAGAACAAGAACAAGAACAAGAACAAGAACAAGAACAAGAACAAGAACAAGAACAAGAACAAGAACAAGAACAAGAACAAGAACAAGAACAAGAACAAGAACAACAACAACAACAACAACAACAACAACAACGACAACGACAACGACAACCACGACCACGACCACAGCGACAGCGACAAACGACAAACGACAAACGACAAACGACAAACGACAAGCGACAAGCAAGTGACATGCAACGCAACACGCAACAACTAACACCAACAACAGCAACAGCATAAACGTCAAACAACAACAACCGCAACACCAGCAACAGCCGCGGCACCAGCAGCAGCAACAACAGCAACAGCAACAGCAACAGCAACAGCAACAGAAACTGCAAGCACAATGATAACAAAGACGACAACGACGCCAAGGACAAAAACATCAGATCAGCAACAGCATCATCAGCAACAACTCAGCTTGCACCGACGTCGACCTTCCAAACGCAAACACAGCTCGAGCGTGCATTAGCAAACAAGTAGGGCTTTGGGCACTTCAGGAGGGGGCAAACCAAATAACCAAGGAAACTCTGCGATGCTCAAGGGGCGGTGCGCATGTCAGGAGACCCAAGCGCGGCACCCTGTGCTCATAGAGATCGAAGCAGCTGTCCAAATCGAAGGTGGCCTAAAGGCATTGTGGGTTTCCATGATGCATCTTTTCCTGCAAATTCTCAAAGGGCTCCGACAAGGGGGCTCCGAACCTGGCAATCCGTTTGTCTTTCACATTGTGGGGCAAAAGTAAAGTCGAGTTGTCAACAGCAATACTGGCTTGAATGGCATATGTATTGCCATTTGACCCCGTGGCAACATCCATGCGGCACGACTGATGTTTCGCCCACCGTGTCCGTCGAGGGAGACCGCTGATTCATTTCAGTAACACGAGCTCAACTCCAGTCTCTTTCAGCGAGCGGTGTCAACGCCACCCACCATCAGAGCACTGCAGGAGAGATGCCGATCATGTCGCAAAAAACATAAGGACCTAAGTTGCAAAGCAACTTGATGGCTGCCTCCTGAGCCTGGCATTCTTCACTGACTTTGGATGCTGCCATGGCATCGATGAGAGTCCTCCAGCAGCGAACCCATCATGCAGCGATCAATGCTCGGCAAACTTGGGAGCATGTCTGGCATCCATGCTGCCGGGAAATCACTCAGGGTCAACTGTAGCGAAGACTTTGTCACCACATGACAAAGATGGGTCGACCTAGTCACCAACCACCAAAGTACACACCCTTCAAGACTTGGACGCAGCTTCTCATGCCCGAGACAACGTGCAAGCCGTCCTGCAGGACCACACCGACTATCAAACGCCACGCGATTCCTCTACTTCGAGCGAGGCTTGCAGTTGGCATATGCGGCGCTTTCAATATGACAGTCCGATTGAGCAGTGCTCAGTGCTACTGCGGAAATGCTGCAGAGCTCAGGGCAAAAGCACCGCCGGCGTCTGGGCAACCCCAGGTGATGACTGATCCATCAGCAGCAACAGCGGCAAAAGCGAAGTGTGTCGCCTGGATCTGCTGTATGTTCTGCAGCTGACTTTGCACATCCCTGCAATCGCCGCCACCTCGGGGGTCGCCCCACGCGACAACGCGGCCATCTGCCCGGATTGCGGCAAAGGCATGGAGCGCAGCTTGAATGTGACGGATATCTTTCAGGCGAGCATTGCAGTCACCTCCTTTCTCTCGGTTTCCCCAGGTGACAACTCCGCCATCCTGTCGAAGGGCAGCGAAGGCAGAGGTGGTTGCCTGCATGTCCTGGATGTTGCTCAAATGCCTCTGCACCGAGGCACTGTCACCACCACCGGCTGAATCACCCCAGGTAACCACAGTGCCATCTTCTCGGATGGCTGCAAAGGCACTCAATGTTGACTGGATCCTCTGCACCTTCGTCAGCAAGCTGCGCACTCCGCTGCTGTCTCCTCCACATTCTGGGTCACCCCAGGTAACCACCACTCCATCCCCGCGAATGGCTGCAAACGCCCGCTGTGAGGATGCAAGCTGCTGAACGTTCACCAAGCTGTCTTTCACTTGCTCGATGTTCCCTCCACATTCCCAGTCTCCCCAGGCAATCACCGTGCCATCTGTCCGAATGGCAGCAAATGCAGACTGAGTAGACTGGATCTTTTCGACTCCCGTGAGGCGATCGGGATATTCATCCACGCCACCAGCGAAGGCATCACCCCAGACTTGCACCCTGCCATCGGCCAATTTCGCGGCAAAGGCCCCGCTGGTGGCTTGAACTTGGCAAACCTGATTGCAGTCGCAGTCGCAGTCGCCTCCGCTCAAAATGCCTCCCCAAGCAACCACACCTCCATCAGTACAAATTGCAGTAAAAGCTTGGTCAGCCGCCTTAGGGTTGAAGCCGCCGAGCATTGGACCAGTGTTTCAAAGGGCTTCTTTTGGTGTCCCTTCTAAACGGGGCTATCGGGTCTGGTTGCTCAAACAAGATCTTGCCCAACCCTGCCTGAATCTCTCTGACATTTCGAAGCTGTTGTTGGACGTCAAATGAGTCGCCACCACCAAAATCATCACCCCACGAAATCACAGCCCCATCCGTGCGCAGGGCCGCAAAAGCAGTCTGAGTTGACTGAATCTGCTGGACACTGTGCAAGTCATGTTGCACCTCGCTGGTATCGCCTCCATGCTTAGGATCTCCCCAAGCGACCTGGTCCAACCGAGCTTTGCAAAAGTAGATAAGTAAGTTATTTCTGGCATTCAAACGCCGATCTTAAGTTTCCTCTACTCAGAACCAGCGCCAACATGCAAAAACGTGCTTCTCCCTTTTTTTTGCGGGGGGGGGTTGCCCAGCCAACATGCAACAAAACCACTTTTTTTGGAGGGAGCGCCACGGAGTTCCCCCGAAAAACACCCAGACAGCAGCCAGGCGGCCACCGTGCCGTTGCTCCGAATCAAGGCGAAGGCGCCGCCGGTGGCCGCCAGCTTGGCCGGCTGCGGGATCCCGGTCAAGATCCCGCCGTCCTCGACACAACCTACACCCCAGTCCTCAAAAACCCGGGAGAGGGGCGTCCAACCAGATGAAAACCGCTGAAAACAGAAGCAAAGGGCGGCATCTGGGGGAAAAACAAAAAAAACGGCCTCCTCAAAACCCGGTCACCAAACATCCCGCCGTTGTCAAAGCCAGGTGAAAACCGGTCAAGAAAGAAGCTCCGGGTGGTTGTTGAGAACATACTGTCGCTTTACCTGTCCCACTGAACCTCTGGGCCCATTGAAGGCAGCTGATCCCCTCTCTCTTGTGCACGACAACAAAGTCCTTGAGCCATGATTCCCTCAATCAGACTCCTTTACAATGGTTGCTGCCAAATTCTCCGGTTGGGGTCCATTGGACACAAAAGCAATGCACCAGTTTGTGGGTAGGGTTCGGTTCCCATCCCTGGCGGGTTTGGATGTCCAAGCCCAAGGGACGCCTCCCCCCTCCGGCCGCTTGCCCCCAGGCGAGTCCTTAAGGCCAGCCTCCTGCAAGGAGAGCCCGGGGTCCAAGACCTTGCCCCCTGCAAGCCAGGGGCAGCAATTGGTTTCGGTCGCAACAAAAAACAAGAAACATAAAACAGCTGACCGTGTTTTGTTCAAAAAAGAGGAAAAACACAAAGACCAACCCCCAAACAAGTTCACCAATGTTTGTTCTTCAAAAAAGAAACCCTGGGTCAAGGAAACAAGACCAACCAGCCCCAGGAGCATCCCCCAGCACCCCGGCAAACTCCCGGTTTTCGCTCCTGAGATCAGGCTCAAGAAGCCCAGGTCCAAGTCCTTCTGCGCCGCCTGCGCCAAGTCCCCGACGCTGGAAGAGGCTGCGGCGCTTAAGGTCGTATGCCGTCCACTGAGCAAACACACCTCCAGCTGCATCGCGGTCCGTTTAGCGAGCCATGGCGAGGCACAGAGCGATAAGGCGCAAAGCGAAAGTGAACATGTGTCGAAGAGTTGTTGGGGGGTCGCTCAGGCTTCTGGACAAGGCCCTTATCATCAAGACTCACTTCCTGAGTGGATTGATCAAAACAAGTCCAGACTGTTGTTTGCTACTAAAATGGTCTTCCCAAAAAGTCTACAGTCTATGAACTCGGGGAGCGAGAAGATGTACATCGAATCAAATCGAAGATGACGATTTGAAAGGGACGTGGGAGCCAGCGCGGCTTGCGTGAGCATCGGCGATGAAAGGCTGCAACGATGCTCAAAGCTGAGGTGACATCCATGTCTTCTGCGGACCAAAGCTTGGGGGGAAAAGTTGCTCCTTTGAATTTTCCTTTATAGGGCAACAAAGGGGGTTCCCCAGTAACCCGGGCAGAAACAGGGGACCCTTATGGGGCGACCATTTTCAGTGGGAAACCCGCCAAGCACAAAAGGAATTTCCACAGAACCGGGTTCGAGTTGAAATCGAGCTGGGAGCTCAAGTGGGGTCCATGTCAGCATGGCATACCTTCGGCCCCTTTTGGACCTGAAGGGCACGAACCCGCACCAATGCAGGGAGGGTATAGTGAGTAACAATGCGATTATACAACCAAGATGACCAACAGGTACAGTTGGCACACTGGAGATTTACCAGGAAAAGGGTATCGGGTGGGAAATCCACAATTGGTGCAAGACATGTGCCAGCTGATCATGCAGTACAATGCTCGGGGCGTACACATCTTAACATACGACTTACGTGGCTCCCGATCGAGAGCACTCAGGCACTCACTGCACCAGGCAGATGCACAGATTTGGATCTCTCCACAGCCTGACGAACATGGGAAGGTGGCAACATCGGCACCCAACGTGGTGGCTCGCAAGGTGAGATGGGTCCCATGTTGATGCCTGATCCCCAACGAAATGTGAATGGTGCATCATGAATTGCATGTAACATGCGCAAGCCACAGGCATCTCAGCAGCGTCTCAGCTTCCGACAATCTGCGGCTGTGCGGTGCACCCAGTTGATGCGTTTCTGATATCCGTCCTGGTTCGCATCAAAAGCGCTTGCATCGCATGGATCCTCTTGGTGGTCATTCTGCCGCTTGTCTGGCGCAACTTTGCCAACGAAAAGGAAGCTGGCACCACTTTTAGAGATTCCATATCATCCAATTTGCGGCAGTCTGACAAAAGACCACTGTATCCGCTCGAACCTCGTGCGCAAAGGCCCTAAGGCGCTGGCCAAATGTCCGTCAACTTGGATGCCAGCTCTTGTAGGCTGGTCCGCCAACTGCCGCAGAACTCCTGCCACGCCCCATCAAATCCCGGGGGGGGCCATGATCAACCCCGTGAAGCAGTTTGTCCCACAGTCATGGTGAAGCTCGGCGATTGTCTGGTCCACAATGGTTGGGACTGTCCCCTACAGCCCTCATCTTCCCATTGATTCAGCTGCTGTCGCTATTGTCTTTCGGGCCAACTAAAACAGGCCCTGTGTGCGACTCCTGACAAGCCAAATGAAGATAAAGCCGAAGTCTTAATCCAGTGCTGCCAGTGACACCAACATGCGCGGACCGCAAAAGGCTTACCTGCATGCTAAAGAGCAACCCAAACACCGGAAAGACACCATTTGGCCCTGTCCTGGCAAGTGACACAAGGGGGGAATACACCCTCGCAAATTAACACATCTTGTGCGCGAGCGACACAGGGGAACATCACCGGTGAAATCGTCTTTTGAAGGCCTGCAAGTTTTTTTGGAAAAGAATCCGCAGGCTCCCACCAGAAGCCAATATGGGTTCAAAATAGGGGGACGCCAAACATGGTGGATTTTCCTCTGCCTTTCTTTAAAATCAAGGTAAACAAAAAGAGTACCCTCAAACGCACAAACCCATTTTGCCGAGGCGGCCTGGTCCAGGGCAGCATGGGACCGTCGTGCCATCTCGGCCCAGTCCCGGGTGAGGTAGGCGATGCCTGCCTGGGATGGACACGTAGCTACAAATCCTTTAGAAGGATTGCTTGAATTCAACCGTCCCGGGACTCAAGCGCGAAAACATGGGGCATGCATGGTACCGTGTCCCTTGTTCCCCCGCCCCATGGTATGGCACCCCCCAGGACCCCCTTCTTGGAAGAAACCGCCCCGGCCCCCCAACCACAACCACTATGCACACCGCCGGCACTCCCGCAACTCGAGCAATCCAACCCTGAACCTGAAATCCTAACTTGAGCAGAAGGAACCCTAAACGCACGTATACCAGGCTGAATAACCCCAATGCAACTCTAAACCAACCCTAGACCCATCCTAAAGCAACCCTGCACCACAACCCAACCACGGGACCACAAAGGGGGGGTGGCTACCTGTATGACCTATGACCATGGGGTGGGGTGGGGTTAGGGACGCTGCACCATAGAGGCTCTATACAGGGACATATTGCTTCAAAAAAAACAGACAGTCAATGGGAACATTCGAAGGCTGGCCATTCTGTGGCAAGCTGACGGCTTGCAGTGAGAAAAAAGAAGGCAGCTCCACACATATTGAATATGGCTCTCCAAATTTCAGACCATGGCCTAAGAGTCTTACCAGGCAAATCGGGATCCTAGGCAGGGGGGACCCTCCATTTCCCAGGTTCCCACCATGTTTGCCGGCAGAAAAGTGGCTTGCCGAGCATCCACTGGCTTTGACGCATCGCACACCCACACGCCAATCGTGAAGTTCACCGAATCACTTCAGGGAGAAGGCATTAAACACGTGCGTGTGAATTCTTGGAATGTGGAAAGCAAGCAGTTTCCTCGTGTTCCATTGAAACCAGCCAACCTCTCCGAAAAGGTTGGATATATATATATATATATCGCCATCCATGTGGATGTTCAAGAGGTCCAATCAGTTCGAAACCATCCGCAGAGCATGGGGTAATTTTCCTCGTTCTTTCCAATCCTTTCTTGGTACAGAATCTGCACATGTGATCAATATATCATGTTATCCAACACATTTTGACCAAGACCTAAATGGATCTCCAAGAAAAAGGACCTACATGAGGATTCACGAAATCCTGCACCACTTGGAAACCATGAAAAACCATTGTTCATTGGCATTTACAGGGGAATCATCAGAAACCAGGGTTTCTTAGGTGGTACAATTCATGATTTCGCAAGTGATTTCGCAAACATCCACACTTGTGACCCTCGTTGTACCCGCCCACGGCATGGCCGTATCGAATCCGCCGAAGCAAATCAGAGGGCGAGCGCCGCCTGAGGCGCCGGCGGTGACATCCGCCTGGTCCGCCAGCTGACTGGTGAGCCGCGAGCTGAGCTCCGCCCAACGCCTGCGGCCGTCTGCTGAGGGCGCAGAGGGCTTGGCGCTTTCTGCGGCCGCGTGCGTGAACAAGCCAAACCGACATGGATGTGGGTTACCCAATTTGGAACCTTGGTAAATGGAAACAAAGACTAAAACCGGCGGTCCTCTGGTGGTTTTGACCCATACCCACATGGTAAAAGAAGCAACACAAAGGTCCACTAACATGAAACCGGACAGAAGGGCCGGGCCCTTGAAGAAATAGGTGTTTCATGGGCCACCAGCCAGGTTTTGTGTTGGTGGATGGGGTACTCTCTTTCCCATGTTGGAAGTAGACGATGGGATGATTTTAGCAAACGAAATGCATTGTCTTGCAAAGGCCCCAAACGTTCACTTTGATTGTTGGACAACGGCTATGTGTCAAAACCAGGCATGCCTTATTGGTCCCTGGTTGGACAAACTTTTAGACAACAAATGATTTGGATTGATCACTCCTCTTGACTAACACTCCAGACTGCATGGCTGGTGTAGCGAACTCCTGCTCGGCAAGGACGAATGTGCTTTGGATGTCTCTACACGTCATTCAGGTCTGTGCTTTGAGCATGGCAGGTGGGCCTCCAAAAGCCGCCAGAAAGCCATATGGATGTCAAACTTGATGGTACTTTACGAGGATGTCACACGTATATAAACCTGGAGGAGGATGCCCCTTGTTCTGACGCAAACCCAAATTGCTTCCTTGGAAAAAGATGGTTTCTCAAGCAACTGTTCTTATATTGTCCACCTGGACAGAAGGCACAAAGTGGTTTTCTTTCGGTCTGGTAGGCTTTGTGTTTCACATGGCCAAGTTGTTTCTGAAGGAGCGCGCCTAGAGCCGCCCAGCAAGTGGTTCCACCAAACCTCAGCAACAGCAGCAGCCGTTGCAATAGAACAAATGGGAAACCACAAGGTCAAGAATTTGATGCGCTTTGGACAAGTGAGAGAGCGCCGACGAGTTGCAAGCACGCGTTATCACACGTGTGTGTCCCCCCTTTGCCAAGGTTCCACGTTTGAAAAGGCCTCTACTGAAAATCAAAAACTACAAAGGTCAGTGGCACTGGAAGAAGGTGCTCTATCTGAGGCACATGACGAGCTCTGCAAACCCCGCTGGCAAGATACTCGCACCACAGATGGGATGGAATGGGAAAGGTTCGGTTAGTAAGGGCTTGGCAAACCGTCCTGCCAGGGAGGAGGGGGGGAGGGGCTTGGCAAACCTCATGTAAGATCTGACCCGAAAGATGGCATCAAAGAAACGGCTGCTGAAGTTCCTTCTTCTGGGAAATGCCATCTCCGTTCTGCACGAGAAAAACGATTTCGCGAAACTTTCGCGACTCCATTGCCACGCCCTTTTGTTTGCAGCGTGCGCTCTGAAGCCATCGGTGTTGCTGCAGTTGAGCTTGTAAGCTCAATAACCACGCCGCCCGCAGCAACTTGCGTTTGCCGCAACTGCTCCGTGCTGGGTCCGGTGTGCGGAACCTTGCAACAAGCTGCATGGGCTCTCGCCGGTCGCGGGTCCTTCACGAAACTGCTCCAACATAGCGGACATAGCGCAGCCAACGCTTTGCGTTGCACCATTCCGAGCACAGGCAGGGTGAGTGAAGGTGCTGCGCATGTCCCTGTCTACAAGGGAGTGGGGTCCGCAAATATGTAAGCATACAAGCATGCCTCCAAGAAGCTCTCGCTAAATCTTCCGTGAAAAAAACACTTTCACAGACTCCTTCGCGGATCTTTCGTGGGCACAAACGCCTACAGTCCTATGGTTCTCCACGGTAAAAGTCCTCACAAGGTCCTTCTGCAACTTCCAAGTCCCAAATGCAACCAATCAATCGCCACGGCAGTTCAACGATTCTATTTCCTTTTTGGACTGCCCCCTGTCCTGTTTCCCAGGCCTGAAGCCCACTTCAAGGTCATGTGCGCTTCCAAGACTGTGAGTCCTCTCCCTCACTGAATTGCGTTGAAACAAACCAACAGGAAACCACCAATTGCTGGGGGTCCCCTCCTTACAATTGATCTTCGGTTCTGCCAAAATTGTTCTAAAGATTTACTTCGCCCCTTCTGCACACGAATCTTCTAGGCTTTAACAGTGGCCGCGGGAACGATTTTGATCGGGCACCCTTTGGTGGACATCATTCACGTGCGGTTCATGCGCACCAGCCACTTGGAGGGTGTTCCGCCCATTCAAAATCCAATCGCCATGTTCATTTCCTGAGGTGACCGTCCCGGGTGTTCCGGCCAGCCATGCGCAGGAGGAATATGCGGCCAGCAAAGCGGCTGTCACCTGAGCTTCCAAACAAAACAGTGCCTGCCCAAACCGAGTGATCACGCGAAGCTGGCGTTTAAAGAAGGATACAAGGCTCACTTTTTGAGTGGATTGCCCAAAGTAACCAAACTGTTTGCGTGCCATGCAACATGTTATAATGGTCTTAAAGATGTCTGAACCCAAAAGGATGCAGGATAGCGACGGCGGTTCTTTCATGCGACATCATGCGACCCCACCCCTCACGGTGGTGTTTTGACTCTGGAAGGGAAAACAACAGGAACCTTCTACCAGTTGTCTCACCCTTGTGGTTTGGGCATTGAGCTTCGGAGCAACGTGATGCAGCAAGATTCGGAGGAATGTTGATTTGAGGTTAGCATGTAGAATTGCCAGGGGAAACAAATGGTACAGCATAGCATGGGATTAGACCAACGGGGTTCCATTTAGCTAAACTTTTAGCAGGGGATCGGAGGACAGCCCAGACTAGTAACTCTTCAAGGCTTTGACAGGTAATCCTTGACTAGAAACCCTCCAACTAGAGCGCATTGCAATTGAAAGGGTTTCCCTTAATTAGTGTGATGTGAGTTCGAATCAATCCGGATCACGCGAATCCGAGGGCCCCAAAAACAAATCTATGCAGGCTAACTAGGGCCATCCCTTAGCATGGTTCGCCGGCGAAGCCGAAGTTGATATTAGTTCCGCAACTTGCCTGGACCAATGGATTAGTGCAACTCAGCACCTTTTTGGAGTCTTTTGCTTATTCTTTATGCTGCGCACTTCCACTGGAAGTCACACGCGATCCACCCTGCAAGCTTGCTCATTTAGCCGGACCACCTGATGTTTTTCAAAGTCTTTGTCAACGTGCATTTGGCTTTGACTCTAAAGTAAGCGAAGCCACTAAACCCTGAACCGCCTTCCTTTTTGCCACTTCCCCCAGCAAAACTGTCTGAACCCCCTCCATGCCAAAGTTTCCCTGATGCTGGGGCTGGAGCTGCCGACTCCACCACCCCCAGGCCAGCGCCTCGACAAAACTCGTGTGTATATGCTTGGTTTCATTCGAGTATGGCGTTGTGGGAGGTATGGAGGTTTGGATACCCCAGGACCAATAGCCACTCAGCTCAATAGCCATGGTGAAGACTCCCACCAAAGTGGGCCATGGTCATGGTTCCCTTACCACTACCATGGTTGTCTAAAAACCTTCCGGGTTGACGACCATCCCTAGAGAACCCCAAGCAAAGAGATCGGTCTTGTGACCAACTACCTTGGTTGTTTACCATCTGAGGGGTTGATGATCATCCCCACCACCCCCATGACCATGGCATTCTCACCCGAAATTGACTTCTCGACATTCGCCGAGGCCTCGCAGCAGCAAAGGAGCCAGAACTCCAAAGACGGTCACCTCAGTCCAAGTTTGGCCGAGTTTTGAGGCGCCATCTGCCCGTCAAGTCCATGCGCAGAATATGGCACCGGTTGCACCCCTGCAGATTAACCCAGACCTCCAGTGCGTGGCATTACGTGGCCAAGAAACAAAAGGCCGCTTTTGGAGGTCCGGCGTAATTTGCATGGGAGCGATATGTCCACATTGCAAATTTGTAGCGGAACTCGGAAACGGTTTGGTGGACACCTTGGGTAAAATGGCAAAAACATGAGCAACGGACGACAATATTCGGAGGATTTCTTGTTTTGGTGCTCTTTGTGGTCAATGGGCAATGGCCTCTAGTGAGCCCGTGTCGCTCATTGTGGGAACATTGTGGGGCATTGGCACGTGTCTGCAAACTTGCTGCCGTTTCAGCGTAATTCGTGTTTGATTCCGGACTGTGGGTCATTTCTCAAGGAGGTACTCCGCGGGTGCAGATTCTGCGAACCAAATTTGGCCTGACAAAACAGATCAAGCCACACCGAGCTTCTGGTCCACCCGTCTCGCTCTGCCGCCTTTTTCGCCTCGAAGCGCCTCAGCTTCAGCGGTAGCGCCTGGCAGAGCGAGGCCCGCATCTCCGCACTGAAGGCGGCCCATTGCTCGAAGCCGACCTCGAACCAAAGGTGCGGTCCGGTGCAACGGCGGAGATCACCGAGTCTCATGCAAGAGCCAAAGGCCCAAAATTCCACTAGGGGTGGGTGGGTGGGTGGGTGGGTGGGTGGGTGGGTGGGTGGGTGGTCTATTCCCACTTCTCAAAAGACCTTAACTGTTTATCCTGAGCTTACCCTGACCAGAGATGAGTTCAAAAACCTGGCTCTGAAACGTGGTCGACCCAACGGAGTCATCTAGGTTGGCCTAGGCCTCACCCTCCAACCACAGGTATCCTCTTCAGCCCCTGGCTCCCTAGACCTAGGCCCACCCCTGTGGGGGCAGCAACAAAAAGCGCTCCCTGCTTTGTTTTTTTGGAGACCACAGAAAACCAAAACCTCTTGTCTACCATGAAGTTTGGTCATCCGGGAGCTAATCAGCCTTTTGGCAACTTGACATCTCTCGAGCCTCGGCCTACCTATGCAAACATGTTTAAACCTACGTGGGGGCCAAAGGCCCACCCCGGGTTAAAGTCTACCTAGGTGCATACAAGTATGCGCAAATAGAGTCACCACCCAAAGATGTTGCTCTTCCTCTTGCTTTACCCAACCATCTAAAAAGTGCAATTACCCTTCAACCAAACACATGTCAAATTTCCTCAACCGGCCGAGACACCCCGCTGCCACCATGCTCTGGGAGATGTGTCCTGCTGCGCATGGCCTCTGCTTGGTGCTCCAGGAACCGAATGCGCTCCGGCACTTCTGGCCGGTCCCGTTCCGTGCGACCTTCGGGTCGAAAAGACCATGAGGATACCAATGGAAGGCCTTCCAAATAGAATTGAGTGCAATAGCTTTTTGGGACTTGGTAAGAAGGCTGAATGTATGAACGAGCCCCTGCTACCAACCTCTGTTATTGGTCAATTTATGGTTGTGGGAAACGGGCCCCGAAATGTGAGTCGATAAATCTGAGATGGTTTTAAACAGTTGTTGCTCCCCGATGGAAAAAAATGTACCATCTAGCACTGATATTCGGGGTGTATTTATATACCTCCCCCCATGTTTTCTTGGGGAAGTAAAGGGGTAGTGGAAACAGTCTTGGATTCAAGAACTTTCGTCATCCCCAGATCATAGAAAGCCTCCAGCATAGAACTCGTAAAGCCATACAACTTGGTATATAGCCAGAAAGAGGGGTCAAGGTCGCAGCAAAACCGAGTACAACCTCACCCGACAGCTGCTAGACCTCAATCAAGCGGCTTCGGAGCACACTCACCGTCATCCAATCGAGCACGCCATCCATTGCAAACCTGGCATGAGCTTGGCTGCCAAGATCACCACATGGCTGTGGCTCAAAAATAGGTACCCCGAATGGAACCCTAGCAAGTGGAAACATGGACCAAAACCTGCGGTCCCCTGGTGGTTTCATTTTGACCCATTCCCACATTGTCAAAGTAGAGTCATAGCAAGTGGAGCTACAGGAACGTCAAGGTTGTTCCTTCCCTTTGGTTGCTAAACCGACGCCACTGTGGCGTGTTGAGAGGCTTGAGAGGAATTTCCCCCCTTGGTCCTTGGGCACCAAGGGTCTTCCGTCATCGGCTGCTCCCGATGGCTCCGTTCAACCAAGCCACTCCTCCAACTCCAGCACCTCCGTTTCGAAGGCGTCATCATTGCTGAGAGCCCAAAGGAACTTTGGGGTGCCCGGCTTCAGGACCTTGGAAAACACCACCGGGCAAGTGCCGTGGCCAAGGATCTGCACAGATGCCGAGACTGAACATCACTCCGGACTGGCACGTGCATGGCATTGGGATCTTCTTATTCGCCAAACTGGAAGAGACGTCTCCGTAAGACCAGGGTGAGAAGGTTGGGCAGGGCTGAGCTGCACAAAATCCGATGCAAGCACAGGCAGCGTCTGTTCACCCCTTGAGAAAATAAATGGACCACCTCCGCAAGGGTCTCCACGCCGGCTCTCTTTTTTCTTCCCAAACAGGGTCTGAAATCTAACCTTGCCTTCACGTCTATGGCTGTTTTTGGCGCCAAAGGGCATTGTCTGCCACCACCACGGCATTGTCCAGGAGTAGCCCAGATTGCTTTAGCATCTCCAGGTCCTTGAGGTCTGATTCCGGAAAAAAAAAAAACGAGAAAAAAAAAAAAAAAAAAAAAAAAAAAAACACCGACACGACACGAGTGACAGCTGAAGGAAACCAGAGACGGCAGACCAATGCTCTAGAGGCTAGTCATGTGGGATGTTCAACCTAGTAGCTTCTAACATCTTCCAACCATGGTTGTACATTACAGGGAAACAAGCACCTGTTACCGCACTTGCGGCTACAGTTGATCAGCTTCCCAAGCAGGTTCATCCAAGAACTTGCAGGAAAGGCTCCCATCGGCCAAGCCTTGATTGGAGCCTTCCGCCAATTTGAGCCAGGTCTCAGCCAAGTACCTGGACCCGCGCTGGTCCATGAACACAAAGCTGATGGGCCCTGAGATCCGATCCGAATGCGCATTTCATGTGAGCAACTCCCTGGGGCTGTGGTTCAGATTTTCCCGGGGTCCGGTGCAACCTTTGAGGAACAGGCTTGGGATCTGCCGATATCTAAGTCATGGGTGTTAACTGGGTGGTTCAAAGTCGGATCCCCGATCCTCCGCAATCCGTAGAGCACCACTCCAACGGCGAAACCCATACTAGCGAGCAGAAGCAATAACATGGTACAAACATGGCTTCTTGTTTTGGTAAGCATATCTTCAACAGGTGTTTTTTTTGTTTTTCCCCGCCCCCCCCCCCCCAAAACAATGGTGTTCAAAGCGGTTTCAGCTGGTTCACCCAACCCTCGGCCTAATCGCTGCAGAAGCCAGGGCAACATGTCCTCGCTGTGGCCGACGATCACCTGTACCTGGCACGTTGCAGCCTGTGGATGTCCACGAAAAACCATGCACCATGGTACTTCTTTGTTTCTTGTTTGGGCAAGGGGAAACCCGCCCAAAAACAAGTTGGGCTGGATAGTGTGAAAACGTGTTCAGCACATCCTCACATCCCGGAGATAATTACGACATGGGCTTGGTTGACTCTCCCTTCCAAAACCGGGCTTCTCGAAAAATGACAAGGGGCGGTGCGCCCGAGTTTGGTGCCAGCTACGTCTGCCTTTGTTGCCCAGGCCTTGTCGGCCATGCCTGCAAATGTCAGCAGGGTCTCGGCGATGATCGCGTGGCCCAAATCTGCTTCGAGAGTCACCTTCACGCACAAAACAACTCAGCCATCGAGGATATGGTGCTTGCTTCAAAAACACATGCGCAAGCGCTACATGAGTCAACACATCCATTGCGACACATGCCATAGCTGGACAAACTCCCTTGGCCGAATGACATGCTCATGGCCGCGAAAAGCGAGGAGGGCAGAACAAAATTCAAGCGGCTTGGCGGAAAGCCGCCTGGCTGACAAACGGCATTGGGCACTTAAACAGAACTGGAGAAATCCCATGGGAATCCCTGGACATTCTGCAGCATCTCAGATGCAAAAGCAAGGTGCCAGGTGTACCAAAGATTGCTGTCATTGGTGCAGAAGGCAATCCAAAAAGTGCGTCCCTTAAGGCAAGCCGTTTCCACACATGCACCTAGCAAACACAGCCTTTGCAGTCCACGCAAGAACACGACGTGAGGGTTCCCGACGCATTGACCTGCGGTTCCACCATCCTGCAAAAAAAAGCTTTCTACAGGCCCTCACTGGAAGCCCAATCAACCGGGCAGTAGGAGCTTTGACCACGAGGATTTCGGGTTGGCTGAAGCACAGCAGTAACGTATGCCTAGCATTTCAAGCAGTCTTAGCTTGATTTGCAGTTGGGGACGTGGGGGACTCACTGACTTTCAACCAAACACATCACGGGGGAGCAAACCCTACCTTCCCATTAATGCCCAATAATGAAACAACACCTATTGACAGCCCACATGAAAACGGATGATTCATAGGGGGAGCCATTCTCTTCACTCTCAGATGCAGCTTTGACTACCTGAAACAGTGTGCTTGAAATTTGGTAAGCCCGCGCATTTGCCGAAACCATAGACATGTGCGGCGAACCTTAATGTACACCCAGAATTCATGCACCCATGGTTGATTCTTGAGCAGTGCACCCCCTTTCCGTACCTTTCCTCAGGTACAAATCATCACAAACCATCACAGATCACAGACTTTCCTCGCAAATCATCACATTCCTCACAAATCATCATAGACCCGCCTTTCTCATGTGCTGACCCCCAAATTGGCTACTTGTGCTGCCTATGGGAATCGACCCTCCATGCATTTTGATGACGACCCTCACCCTTCGACACCTGGCTCAGCCAAGCCAGACCGGACTTCTGCGGGTGTTTTCTTCGAGACCCCTGTTTTGAAATGGGTTGTTTCCGTTT